AACGATCACACGCTAGTGCGTACTTAAAGTGCTTAGGCGCTACAGAGGCCAAACAAGCAGTACGTGAAATTCACGAGGGAATATGTGAATCGCCAATACCATCACACTAGAAAGTGACCAAGTGTAACCAAAAAATAATGCGTAGTATAGAGGGTTTAGCTTAATTTGTCAATAATCCAAAAGAGAAAAAGAAAAGAAAAACCGACAACAAAGTCTGAGTTTGTAAAGAAAGAAAAGTACACAAACCAAGATCCCATGGGGAATCAGTCGGCGCCAACCTAGTACTCATCACCTCCACCGCAGTAGAAGGTGGGTAGTCATCCTCATACCCTAGGGAAGTCACCTAGGGGTACTGAACATCATTCGAGTTCATGCCGAGATAGTGCATCATGTAGTGCTGCCCCAAAATGATGTGGCGCCAACCATCTCGCTCACGGAGTCACGGTCGAGGAGGCGATGAAGGTCAGCCTACCCTCCGAGAATCTGCCATTTTTGACAAGAGAGGTGCTCCAGCTGATCAACAATCGAGAGAGAGGGGTTAGCACTAAGACCGGGGCCGGACGTACCGGACGGCGTCTGAGCCCGGCGGGCTGGACGACGGTGTCCACGTCAAAATCTGGTATCACTCGCCTCTGGCACTTTGTCCGCATATGGGGAAGTGGCACGAGGGTGAGGCCGAGGAAGTCCCTTAATCCATGTCACATTCCCGTTGCGGTCGAGCAAAAGCTGGCGCTGGAGAATATCCCAGATGTATGGTATAGATGTCTAGACCAAAGTGAATCCATTGAGGTCTATCCTATAGTACCGAGCCATGGCAGTGATCACCGGCCCACAAATAAGAGCACGACCGCAGGCAGTAGCTTTGGAAATTGTCCTGGCAATGACAGAAGCCAAGTGCAAATTGTCTTCCTCCTGGCTCATCGAGTATAGGAATGATAAAGTCTGGAGCTGGAGGTGACTGACGGAGCCCAGAATGGGTGCGTAGGACTTGCCCAACAACTGGTTGAGGATGCGCCATCCAGGATGGAGGTGAGTAGCCCGTATCTGGCCCGACTGGAACACAGTGCCTGCAGCTTCCGGGAGAGAGATCCTCTCAAAGAAGAGTCGTCCTTGAAAGTTGGGGTATCTGGCAGCTCAATGGCTAGGCGGCAAGCAACTGGGGGAAGACGGTCCAAGGCCCAGGCAAAATCGTCATAACTGAGGGAGTGAGCCTCCCCACCAAGTGTGAAGTCAATGGCGTTGGAGTGCGCGCCTGCTCGCCCGGGGTAGTGGTGGAAAGTGGAATAGAACTCCTAGACGAGTTCTTAGTATGTCGGCTTAGAGAGCTAGAGGAGGCGCTGCCAAGAGTAGGTGCGAACAAAAACCTCCATTGCCTCCCTAGCGCCCATCTCCTCAAAGACCTCAAAGTTGAGGTGATGATGCACAAAGAAGGCACGGGTCTTGAGTTCCCTCATAGTCTTCCTCTGCTCACGGGAAAGCAGCTCCAGGTAATCATTCATGGTCCTGCAACCACAAATAAAAACGCACAAGTGCTATACATAGAAGCAGGGTCGAAGATGAGGACGGGATAAATCGCACTTGGAGCCCTCGAATCGAAAGATTCGAACCGTGGACTAGACTCAAAGTGAGGTACACATTCACATTCAAGACAAGTTCCCACCGTCCAAACACCAATAAATCAATTCGCACCATTCAAAGAAAATGCCACCATTCATTAACAAGCAATCAGTAGGGCAACTCAGTCGAATTAAGGGAAAAAATCAAGGCAAGCATGCAAAAGCAAAGGCCCACTGACATCGTTCTAATTAAGCTCAAATCCCAAATTTCTCACCCAGAACACTAGGTATCAATTCTCCAAAATTAGGAAAGATAAAGAGAAACACACCTGGAAACTCAAGTAGATACCACGGAGAAGGTGAGGAGAATGAGAAACACCACGAGAAGTCGCCGAAAAACTCCTTGGAGCGCTCGCCGAAGTCTCGCTGAAGCTTCATTGTCGACGACTTGACCACCGCCAAAATAGACCAAAACTCTGAGGGACGAGCGCCCGGATGCCATGAAATTGGTGGTGGTCTCGATTTTTTATTTGAAGGTCGGAGTAGGGAGATTTGGCCGAAAAACCGTCAGAGAAGGGAGAGATGCGCGATTTCCGACGAGTTTGAGAGAGAGCACGGGCAAAAAATGGGGGAAGAGAGAGAAGCATGCTTGGAGGCCATATTTAAAGACCCTGGGGGAAGCATGGGCAGCCAAAAGCACGATTGTGCTTCTCTCACTAGCTCCACGTGCTTTTTAAGTCGAGCGTCCTGTTACTTCCTAGGGAAAATACGAGTAAGGGGGATTGAAGCACGACTGTGCTTCTGGACCCCTTTGCCCGTGCTTTTATGTAAGAGAGGGTGTAAGGGAGAAAATGAAACACGCGCAAGGGCGAATGAAGCACGATCATGCTTTTCTTCCCCGTGCCCGTGCTTTTTAGGACGAGAGCAGGTTGGGGTGTGAGGAAAACAAGGGCAAAGGGGGATAAAAACACGACCGTGTTTTTCCTCCCCTTGCACGTGCTTTTAAGTGCAAAAACTCCAAACCGCGTTTTTAAACAACCCAACCATATCCGTGCCCCGATTCAAAATAAACACAATCATAGACAAAAACACACCACCTGGGGTCACAAAATAGGTTCCAGACACCAGACAGACTCAATGACACAAGGAATAAAAAAACAAAAGAGAAAAGGAAAAGAAATGCAAATCGTGGTAGGGTTGCCTCCCCACAAGCATTTTATTTTACATCTTTAGCGAGACGCAGTCAGCGAAACTAAAGGTCCGCGAGTTCCACCACCAACTCCGCGCGTTCGACCTCGCCTCCCATATACAGCTTGAGGCAGTGTCCATTCACTTTAAACGGCTTAGTTTGCGGGTGAAAATCTTGACAATGCCAAACGGGAACACCTGCATGACCGTGAACGGTCTCGACTATCTGGAGTGGAGCTTTCCACGAAATATTTTCAGGAAAGAGTTATAGAGAAGAACTCGATCTCTAACCTGAAACTCGTTCGGGGCTCTCGTGTCGTGGAGATGCTTTGTCTGCTCCTTGTACAACTTGGTGTTCTTGTAGACGTGGTAAGGCCATTCCTCCCGCTCCAACATCTACATTTTCCGTTCAGCACCTGCAAGAATCACATCCAAGTTCAGCAGGTTAAGGGCCCAAATGGCCTTTTGCTCTAGCTCGACGGGCAAGTGACATGCCTTGCCATAGATGAGCCAATATGTAGAAGTGCCTATCGGTGTCTTGTAGGCAATCCGATATACCCAAAGAGCATCATCGAGCTTGGTGGACCAATCCTTGTGGAATTGATCCACTGTCTTTTCAATTTTACATTTGACCTCCCGATTTGTCAGCTCGGCCTGCCCACTCATTTCGGTGTGGTAGTCAACAGACACCTTATGAGTGAGACCATAGGGAGAGAGCTGCTTATCAAATTGACCCTTAAAATGGGTGCCTCTATCTCTAATGATGGCTCTAGATGTCCAAAACCGGGAGAACTGCAACTGGCCGGATGAACTCTACAACGTTCTATGGGCGCATCGCACAACATACAAAACCGCCACATGTGAGACCCCATTCGCGCTCACGTATGGGATGAAGTAGTCATTCCCATAAAAACAAGCTTCCCTTCCATTAGAGTTCAAATATACAATGAAGATGACAACATCGAGATCCGCTGAATAGACCTCGGCCTAGCCATAGAGTGCAGAGAGTTGGCAGTTATTCGCCTCGCAACGAAAAAAGCACAAATTGCCAGTTATCATAATGCAAAGCCTTGGCCACATAACCTCAAACACGAAGACCAAATGTTGCGGCGGAACTTCCGACCGAACAAGAAGCACGGAAAACTCCTTGCATCATGGGAAGGCCCTTACCTGATAAGAGAAGTGGTGGGCGCGAGCACATTCAAGCTAGCAGAGTTAAGCGGAATGAAAATATCTAGAACGTGGAATGCACAAAACTTGTGTTTGTATCGACCCTCTCAAGCACTGTAATATCTCAAACATGAATGTCAAGTTTACCACAATGTTATTCTCCTATATACGAGTACATAATCCACCTCTCTAATATGAGAACTAAACGCTCACGTAGCAAAATATACGAGCGTGGAATTCGCCTCTCTACTATGAGAATTAAAAGCTCACGCAACAAAATATACGAGTGCGGAATTTGCCTCTCTACTATGTAAATGTGAACTAACGCTAGCGCAATGGAAATATACGAGTGCAGAATCCGCCTCCCAACTTGTCAAGTTTTGAACCAATAATTCCCAGTTTAAATCTCCAACCAGGTAAACAAACCAAGCACTAAGCTGATCATAACAAGACAACGAAGTGGAGCAGACGAGAACGAAGACCAGTCAAACTGGAAATACAGTCACTCAAACAAAAAGGAAAGAAGCACAAAAAAATCAGTAAAATCAGAGGTTGACTATGTCAGCAACCGCACCACTCCTAGACCCAACGTTGCCTTCTTCATCCATTTCACTTTCCGAATCGTCTGTCAGCAGCCGATTATCCGCACAAAAGAATTGCACATGGCACACCATATCGCGCGTGTTCCAGCGAGCCTCGGGGTTATTCGGGCACACTTTCTTCCGAACCAACATGATGGCGCAGTCCATGCAATCCGCCAAATGATTGCCGAAGGAGGTCGATTTCTTATATGCTTGTTTTGTCTCCGCGACAAGGGCAACCTTCTCCGCCTCAGCTTTCTGCTCCAACTCCTCAAGCTTTTTGCTTAGTGCTTCCTTCTCAGCAGCAGAATCCGATCGGAAGCGATTCAGCTCGGCAGTGGAAAGCTTCCTTTTCTTCAAACTCTTTCTCCAACTCCTCTCGGATGGCAGCCCGCTCCTTCGACCGTGCTTTCTCCCGTTCGGCAGCGAGATCGTCCTTCAGTTGGCGAGTTAGTTCGTCCACACGAACAAGGGCGTCATTGCACTTCTTCTAAACATTATAGAAGCGTTGTTCAGTGCCGGCATGCTGGCTCTACAGCCTTATGACCTAAGCTTGCTCCGAACTCAACTATGCTATGATATCCGCCCCTTCCTTTTGAGCGCGAAAACTCGCCACCATAGCCTACAACAAGTCATAGATGAGATTAATCCGCCTACCAACTTGGAAAAGAAAATAAAGAGAGTAAAGCAACGCAAACCTGAAATTTAGTGTGAGCTAGATCCACATACATATCACTATTCTTCATATGGGCGGGAAGTGCGAGAGCGACACCAACCACTTTCAACGCGATTTGAGCAGCAGGAAGATTTTGCACAGCCACGATAGGCAACTGTATCTCCCGGAAGGGCGCCATGTCAGGCAATGTCTGTTGCGCAAGTTGACCTCCAAATCTTCCGCCCACTCCCTTCTTCGGCCTCACCAGCTGACCACCATAGCTTCCGTTCCCCACCTTCTCCGATCTTGGAGGTTTCTTGGACACCGCCTCCACCCAGAGCTCCACCCGCGCCGCCTTAGCCGTCTTTGGATTCACCGTCGTGCTCATGTTCTTACTCTTCGAGCCACCTTGAACTTTCGGCAGCACGAGGAGATGAACAACCATCATCATTGAAGCGATAGAGTTGTAATCCACTCCTACAAAGAAGAGTTGTAAGAATGCGATTAATACAACAAGAAGTGAGACCAAAGGAAGAAGAACACTAACCATCAACAAAAAGCTCGCAAAGCACAGCTTCCCGTGATCCCTTTTGATGGAGATCCACGCGTTCAGTCAGCAACAAGTCATAATGCATTTGGAGTTGCAGATCACTCCCTAAAGTCGACTCAAAATATTTCACGAAGCCATTCAACCACGAAGAGGGTAAGGTCACGGGTAAAACGGTAAACTCCTCGGGTATCGGCTTTACATAGAAAAACTTTTCAAACCAGTCATTGTCCAGCTTGGGAAACCCGTACACATATCCACCCGGCTGGTTATCTTGTTGCTTAATCGAAAGGTGGTTCCCTCTCTTCGGCCCAGTCAGAAGAGGGACCTTCAGTTTATAGAACTTGCGTAAGAGGTCGTACGACAGATGCAAGATCCACCGTTTGCACATAGTGCGCAGCGCGCAAGTATGAAAGATGACAGAAGGAGAGAAACGCGCCATCAAACACTTCACCAGACTGTACAACCGGCAAAGCAAAGGCTCAATGGGAAATTTGAAGCCCATATGCCAATACTCCGCGCAAACGCCATACCATAGTGCAGGAAATTACTAACGCGGCTACACTCTGATGGGGCAGCGTATAGCCAGTGTTGCAGCAAACCGAGACCGCACACATACTTCAACACATCTTCCCGGCTGAAGATAGAGGCGTGGTCGGGGTCGCGCAAAAAATATTAAGAAAGAACGTCACCTTCTGCGAACATTTCCGCCTAATCTAGGCTACTATAGTCGGCACCAGCCAAGTTCGCTCCCAACCGCGCCACTGCTTCCGTCATGCGCACAAGCGCAAAGAGAGAGTTGCCCTCGGGCTCCAACAAAGCAAGCGAACTATCTGTCTACATGCCATCGGCGATACCAAATCTCTCTCCTTCCACAATCCGCCCTATCTCTTTGTCACCGCGTTGTCCTTCCCTGGAATAGACCTCCCTCAAATTCTCCTCGCCATCGTTACAATAAGTCACTCCGTCAGACGAGCTCCTCAAGAATTCGCTGCCGCCGGTGAAATCAAAGTCGGGATTCATTAGCAGCACTCTGGCCAAGGAAGAATGCTCCAATTCTACTCTTATGTCCCTAAAATCTGCAGAAGGGTCAGAAGAATCGTTACCTCCGTCGTCGATCTCGATCACTGCTTGAGCGACAATCTTCTTGGCGTCCATCCTAAACCCAGAACACACGAACGATGCCGAAAAGGTGATTGGAAGCGAAGACGGGGCAACAAGCAACAGAGAGAGCCCAAAGGAAGAGAAAGAAGATGTTCTTGTTTCTTTCGTTCAACTGATGGAAAATGAGTCCAACTACAAACACACCACCTTCTTTATATATAGCAACGAAAAGAAGTTCAACCGTCGTTGTGGTTCCTTGGAACCCCCGCCAGCCTGTCAAATCCATTGTTCAAACTTCAAATCCATCGCCTAAACGAAAGGCTACGAGAGTGCCACGTATTGATCATTCGACGCCTCACTGCCAGCGCACCCTCGACTTGGGGGGGGGGGGGGGCAGCCCCTCTAAAGCAAAAAACTCAAGAACCGCGGAACACAATCCTGCAAAAGGCTTACAACCGCGGAAATAAAGCCACTCACTGGAGAATTGAAACTGCAAATGCGGAACATGCCTGACTAAAGTGCTACGAACACGAAAAAATGGCGTCAGGGGGCAAAAAAAGGTGCAACCACCAAACGATAAACGTGGCGTACGAGGACCAACGCAAGGGGCTGCCAAAGCAAAAAAAACCAAGAACCGGGGAACACAATCGTTGGAACTAAATAAATGGACTTAGAGGGCAAAAAATGTGCAACCACGAAACGCTAAGTGTGGCATACGAGGACCAACGCAGGAGGCACTCACGGACTACCTCTTGATGGGGGACAATTGTTGGGGGAAAGACCGTAAGAAGCGCGTGAAGCACAACCACACCACGCTTAGCTACCCACTCGCGCGGCTGCAACTGCGTCGGACCATCCACTCGGTTCGGTTGCTACCGCGGGAAGACCAAGCCGCTCAATGGCATTTGCACAAATATCGCTTGAGGGCCTGCATATCTGCTCTAACACTTCCGTCTTGTCGCCATGATTTGTTCACCAGGGACGGAGCCAGGATTTTGAATTAGGGGGGGGCCAAAAATTTTTTTACAATTCTATATTTCAACAAATAAATCATGTTTTCAATTTAAAGTATAATTTTTCGGACGTGCTCACGAGTTTAGAATATGCGCAAACGCATGCACTCTAACTTTCCTCTATCAGTAAATATATAATACGCAAAATCACTTCGAGACTTTGACATAATGAGAATCACTTAAACTCACATTTAAATATTCATGATATATCTCTTGAAAGTCAAAACAAATAACCCAATTTTAAGCAAGAAATCGACTGATGGTACGTGACATATTTCATTATCATTATCAGTTCAGTGATAAGAAAAACACATCAAGATCAAAATTTACATTTACTCACAGTTGAAGTGACAAAAAGTTCATATTAGAAGTGTATTAGTTTCTTATTTAAAATATTAGTTCAAGTTTATATTATACCATGGCATAGTCAATTAGTCATAGTTAAAATATGAATCCTAAAACACATTGGTTAAGAAACTCAGTTAAAGTAATAAAAGTTAAGTTAATAAACGAAACCTATAGAAGCATAAACAAAGAGAAGCATTTGATAGATTTTTTGAAAAATAACATGCTCAAAACATCCATAACACATACCTTTTAAATTGCCCATTAGATTATTGATAATATAAGATATAGAGACATGACATTAAAGAAGATATAGAGAAAGAAGGTAAAAAAAGTTGAGCATGACATTAAATAAGATATAGAGAAAGAAGGTAAAAAAGTTGAGCTTGCAGGGATCGAACCCACTACTTTCCTTCCAGCAAAAAACAAATCAATATCACAGCTCAACCATCAGAGCTACGGAACTTCTTTGTTATAATTGAACAAAACCTATTTTATCTAACTTAGGGGGGGCCATGGCCCCCCCTAGCTATGAGCTGGCTCCGTCCCTGTTGTTCACCAAACCAAAGAAGCTATAAATACAACATTTACTCCTCTTGGAAAAGGGATCGGATTTCATACCATTCTCTCTCTACAACACTTTGTCTTCGCTTTCAATGGGAATGCTCCCTCTTCTCTCTTCTGTAATCTTCTTCAATCTTCATCAATCCATATTTTTTCCTTATCGAAAAAACAACGAGTTCTTCTTCATTAATCGTGTAACCCTCTTACCCACTAGCCCTGCACAAACACTTAGTCGTGTGGATTTCTATTTTAATGCGATTAAAATATGCACTTTCAGTATATAGTAAATACCAGCAAAATGGATTTTAAAGCACGGATTCCTAACGATAAAAGCAACGAATTTGACTAATTATCGCTCCAATTCTAATCTTGTTACTCATTTTCGGAATAGCTTATTTCGATGAGCTATATTGACCAAAATTAATTTTTTTCTCGATCACCAGTTATGGATCGGATGAGACTTTCATGGCAGTTGGTGTTTGCGCAAGGATTTCTATTAGGGTACGTTTGGATAGGTGTATTTCAAATGTAAGGTATTAGAAATACATACATTTGAAATGAATGTATTTGAAATTCTAGCATTTGAAATACATGTAATTCAAATTCGTTGTTTGGATAGTCATTTGTAATTTGTTTGTATTTTGAATTTTATGGTCACTTACTACAAATTTTGTAAATTACAATTTTGTGACCATATTTTTTTTTCTTATAATTTAGTACCTAAACTTTTAAAATTTTACAAAAAGATCATGAAATTTTGATGGTAAAATTACGTTTTGGTACATTTATATGTTTTGCCTCATACTATAGTACCTAAACTTTTAATATTTTACAAATAGGTCCAATCTTTTGTTAGGAGGTATTTCAAATCACTAGTTGTTGAAATGTATTTGAAGTTGACAAGTAATACACTAGACATGTATTAGGAAATCACCCCATAAATTTGACACAAATTCAAATACCAAGTGTAATTAATATCCATACACATGATTTGATATTTGGAAATCCAAATCACAAAATAACAAATCCAAATCATTTTATCCAAACGCAACCTTAGTAATAGTAGTGGGTGATTTACCATTTTTGTTTAGTTAGTAGTCTTATAGGGATATGATTATGGTGTGGTATATATGCGCAAATAACTCATAAATTTGAAATGTAGTATTTGGTATGTAAAAGGAAAAAAAGTGAAGGAAGGAATAAGTTAGTTAGAAATAACTCATGTTAAAAAAAGTGTATGGATTATTTGTATGTAGTATTTTTTTTATTACCGAGGAATCTCAGCCCACATGTCACTTTGTGATAGCGGGGCATACTAAATCTGGGGGCAACCTGCAATCAAATTCGACGCCAACGAGGCGTCGCCCCCAGGAGCCTTTTACCTCTGGGAACACCAACGGGCCTCGTTTGGATTCAAACCTGAGATTTGCAACTCTCAACCCTTAACTGTTGCGGCAGATTTACCGTTATGCTATCTTACCTTTGGTATTTGTATGTAGTATTTGAGTTGCACATATTAAAATAACTCATCAATATATTTCTCTGTCCCAAATAATTCATAATAAATTGTAGGGATTTCCTATGGTGACTTGAAGTAAGGTGACTTGAATATTTTTACATGATATAGCAGGTTTCACAGGTCGCATTACGTAAAACATAACAGGTGTTACGTAATGGTTACGTAATATATTCTTATCTTACGTAACAGTTGTAAAAGGTCATTACGGAAGCCTTACGTAATGGACGGTCTTCTTACGTAATGAATATTCACTATGCATTACGTAAAGTGTTAAGTCATTACGTAATTCTTACGTAACGCTTCAAATAT